CAATCCTACAAGTCAAAAAATATGCTGCTGCTCAGGGAGAAAAAATGCTATTTATTAGATAAGTATTTTATATGTAGGTAACCTACACAGCATGAGTGAGATATCAGCTGAGATAGTATTATTTGCTGTAATTTCCTGTCTTGTAGAATGAGAGAATAATTTCCAAGCAATTGTAAAGGAAGATGTTGGTTCGCACAGCACCAAGGAGAGAATTGCTGACAGCATGAGCAAGAAGTGCGAGAGTTTTGTTTTTAATAACAGTTTGCTTTGTTTTCCAATTTCTTTTTCAGTCACTGTGCACCCTCATCAGATAAGGGTTCTACATGCTTCTGGATGCTCTCTATTTACTTTGCATCCATTGATCTATATACCATTCTTTCTTTTTTCTTTCCTTCCTTCTTTCTTGTTTTTTTTTTTTTCTTGTAATCCCCTTCATCTTTGGTCTTTTCATTTTTTCTCTTTCAGATCTGCTTCTTCTCCATCCTGCTAGAATGAGAAACATTTTCTCAGAGTCTATGTTCCATAGCCCTTAAAACAATGGGATTTTTGAGCACCTTTCCAATGTTCTGCTTGTCCAAAAAATAACACCAATCATTTTGATCAAGTGTATCAATTTGATCAATTCTCATGCTCTTGAAATACTGAACAAATATAATCAGGAGTGTACAAAAAATCATGCTTGATTCTACCTGCTGGATGAAAACGGATACCTATAACTCACTATTGTTTATTGTAAGACCTGTAGACAAGCTTTCAAATTGCACCTTCATGAAGCTATAGAAGCCTCACTTTGCTGTGACACATCTAAGTCAGAACATGAAAGCTGTGGGGCAGGCCTGCAATACAGTAATTTGCATCCCATTAACATCATGAACTGAGAGCTCTCTGTGTGATCCCTGGGCCATGGATTTACTGCAAGCTTCTCTCTGCAGAACTGGGACTTGATCAGACTCTACAAAAGCAGGAGGGGATCCTACAAGCCTCCCACACTAGCCATTTGCGGACTGACTGCTGACAAGTAGAACCAAGCATGAAATTAGCAACATTTTACAGGCTGGTTCAGCCTGGTTCTGTGACTAGCAGGACAGAGGGATTTCGCAAAATCCGCGCCTCCAAAAAAGGGAAACAGGGGACCTCAAAATAATTAAAAACAGCAGCAACAATCTGAGGAGAAACAAACTAATTTACTAGATATAGTATCGGAATGCAAGATAACACACTATAATACAATATAATTAGAATTGAAGCTAATAAATCAAATATAATGAGAGAGTGTGTCTGAAAGGTGGATAGGCCTCACTATAACACTGAGGTGAGATGTGCAGTCTGGTTGAGCAGCAGGGAGGAGAGCCTGCCGAAGAGAGAGATATCAGGTGACCTTGCCAGGAGTTGTATCTCCTTTCTGACTGCAAAGCCCCCTGGGGCATGTAGTTCTTCTTCTCTCCTGGACAGGTACCCAGAACAGGAGCATCAACACCTTAACTCCCAGTGTACTACATGATATTATGATGTGGAATACTGATAACCAAAAATCATAAAACCATGACACAAATGTAGATTATACTTAAAGGCAAGCTCTTTACCTTGTTGCTTAGGTGTGCCTAAATGAGACTTGTTTTGAAATGCACCAATCAAGGAACCAGAAATGCAATTTCCATAAGGTCTCTTTTCTCTCTAGAACTATATCACTAAGATTTCTCCCTCCACCATCATTCCTATGATGACTTACAGATAAGGCTGATATTTCTTCTCAGTTCATCAGAGCATCAGCACATTTCCTGAAGTCAGGGCCTTCTGATCAGAAAGTCACTGAAGGGTACAATTCCACTTAATGATTTCTCTAGCAGCAAGAGAGTTTCCAGGGCAGTCTGCATGATCCTCTCCCTCACTTGCCAGAAGTTACTGCCTGTACAGCAGTACATGTTCAACTACTTGTGTAGTGGTGATACAGAATTGATCATTGCAATGATCCATGCTTGTTGTACAAGCATTCTGGAGACAAGGGGTAAGATGCCAAAGATTACTTCTCAGCAGAGGTAACTTGTGCATACACTCAATGTTATTTGATACATGCAATATTCTAGACTAGCTGTATTTGTGGAACTATAAGGAATCTTCTGGGCATTTAATCAGAACAAATGGCAACATACAACACATAACAAAGCACATTCCCCTATTATTTTTAATGACTTGTCTCCTGGTTCCTCCAGCCAATATTTGGGATTTTTGAATTTTTTACAGATTATTTAACTTGAGTTTAGTACAGCTTTCCTGTCATCTATTCAAACACCATATCACGTAGTGTGATTGTCTTTTAGGTATGACTTGCCTGGCTTTTGATGTTTTACCTTGTTTTACCTTGTCAGCTGCCTGCTGGCTCCACAATCTCTGAATATTTTTCTACTCCATTCCTGCTTATTCCCTCAGCCTCTCTTCCACAATTCAACCTTAAGCAATTATCTTCCTTTCTCCTCCTTTACAGTTTTAACCCTCCTTTTAACCCTCTCCTTCTTGGATTTCAGTATAGGTTCCCCTTTCAAGGAAAACTGTGGGAGCTTTTTGTGTCCTGCTCTTCTCTTTAGCCAAATATGCAAGGCTGGAGCAAGGGAAAAAGCAAGTTAAGTGCTTTCCAATAGTACTGTGCTTGCAAAGGAGATGAACACTTTTTCTTCCACCAAGAGAGTGGTCCTTGAAAGTCAGCTGCAGTTCTCATATCTTGCCCATGACAGTTTTTATAGTGATATTTATTATATGTCAGACACTTATAGCAATGCAAATCAGTGAAATATCTCACTGGTTTAAGGAAGAACTTCAGAAATCTCGTGGTAGAAACACAAAGTTTCTTTAAGACCACTTGGGATCTGACTCAAAGTTGACTGGAGGCATCTGGAATCTTTCACTTGCTTTCAATAGGTTTAGGATCAATTGTGGCAGAGGATGAACCTTTGCTTTGCTTAGTCTATCTGCTCTATTTATAAATACATTTACTGATGCAATGGAGGAGGACTGCAGTGTTGGATTACTCACTGCAAACAGAGGTGTTTTATATCTGAAGGTAAAAAATAGGAATCCCATGGCAGGTAATTTTGTTTACTAGCATGCAAAATTATGAAAAAGTTAGAAATAATGCAAAAGTGAAGTTGATGTTTCTACTGAAATAAACAATGGTTTAGAAAGAGTAATTTTTCCTGGGAGTTTTCAGAAAGTTCAGTATGGCAGGTCTAATCCTGTTTAATGTGAATTACACATGCAACCACTGGCATACCCAATGCATTTTAAATAGAAACAGGGCATCACTTGAAATATGAAGTCCATTGTATCTTTGCAGTTTGTCACTTATATAATCACTTATATAAGTTAAACATTTGATTTTAATGGAGGTGTGATCATCTCCCAGCCCCTCCTTTGGAATACTGGCTTTGTAAATTTTTTTTAACCAGAAAAACTTAATGTACTGAGTTGAATTTTGCAGGTTTAGAAATTACTTTTTAATGATTTGGGATCTCAGTGAATTTATCTGCTGTGTGCAGAATGCACATTTGTTTGTAATCTGGAATCATATTTTACATGTTTGAAAAGTGCATAGCAAATAATTTTAATCAGTTTTAAAGAACAAGTTGATGTTACATATTGCACTTGTTGCCTTAGAAGGCTGTGTTTGTGTTTATGATGCAGATATTCATGCACTTTTTCCTTAATAAGGTAGAAGTTGTAGAAAACATGCATCTGAGATTTTGTAATTAAGTACTCAATTTGAACACACAAATGCCAGAAGTAATGATTCTTGGAATTTTATCATTTGTAGTAATCTTTTCATTGTAAAAAAAGGCAAGTAATACAGTGACCAAACAAAATTAGAACCGCAAATCAGACAAGTCATTTATTTGTATATATATATATATAACAATCCCTACTTATTTCAATTTCTTCATTTTTCCTTTGCTTTGTTTTTAAAATGTGTTAATACTCCCTTATTACTCTTTTTGTTAGAAAGAAACACAGCCTTTGAATCTAAACAATTTTTCAATTCCTTTTGCTTCTTGCCTCCTTACTTCTTGTCAGACTGTGTGAGATTTTGTTACCAATTCAAACCAACTTCTTTACTGTATTTTGCAAGAAAACTGCGTCTCAGAAAAATGCATCAGTAACTATGTAACTATGAAGCCCTATCTATTGGAGTCATATGAGAAAATAAACGAAGGGTAAAAATTAGAATGGAAAAATAAACTGCTTTTAATTTCTAGAAACATGGAATAAATGACTTATTCATTGTTGCTTTGGTTTTTGAGCTTTACAACACTTTACCATGGCCTAAGGGCAAACAAAACAAGTTGGCTGATTCCTTCCCATCTCTGAGCCAGAACAGTGAATACTGTTTATGATTTCTAGGAACAGAGTTAAAATACAACAGTGTCTGAATGTGTCCAGTGTTATCACAAACATAGTTTGAAAAAAACAAATTGCTTTCACAGGATATATGAAAACAATCATCTTAGGTTATTATCTCTTACTATCTCTTCCCTGGAACATTTAAATGATGTTGGTAATCACTAAAATACTGATCTGGAATTTGGAACACAGTGATATTCTGGACACATACTCATAAGGGTAATTGTACCACTATGTAAGCCCAGTGTACACAATTATTTGGAAGCCAGGTATAGCTGTAAGATTCAAGACTGTCTGAAAGATACACTTCTAGCTTAAATGATCAAGCAGAATTCAAGTTTCCAGCCACACAGGATCAGCAGGTTGAAGTGAAGTCTTAGAAGCACAGTTCTGTAAAATGTACAAAATAGAGAAAACCCAATCTCCATAAATTTCTATACAGAGAATGTAAGTTCATACTCTAACGTGCCAGGATTACTTACAGAAGTATTACAATATCAGACCTACTTCAGTTAAGCGTGAAATCACAGAATATCCTGAGTTGGAAGGAACTCACAAGGATCACTGCGTCGAAAAGCCTAGGTGGGCACTGCATAGTGTGAGAATCCTTCGTTGTTTTTTTTTTTGGCTCAAAGCTTGCTTCCTGAGGTATTTTGTTGAGGAGGCAAGTGATGGGTGTTGTGTGGCAATCAACATCGCTGTGTGGACAATTTTACATCTTTGGAGCTGTTTGCCTTCAGAAGATAGTGCTCAGGACTGTTTACTGGCAGAAGATCTAGCCTGTGACCAAATAACTCCTGTTTGCTATGGAAGGCTGGGGGATGATGCCATTGTATGCTGCGAAGACAAGATACAAGTTGGTGCCTCCCTGCTTCCTCTTATCTGCTGGCAAGGCCAGAAAAATAAGAACAAAGGAGTTTCCTGCTGAGATCCCAGAGCCAGGAGCTGCCACTCAAAGGAGAGTTGACCCAACCACTTTTGGATTTGAGCTGTCACTGCAAAGACAACTGACTCAACCACTTTGAAACTATTGAAAAGGGGCCATCATCGCCATGGTCATTGTCATCGTCATCAATAGAACAACAATGCCCGACGACCCACCACTACTGAAGATCAAAGACGGAGCTACGAACCACGCTGGATCCATGGTGGTGACTATGTCCCTCTTGTTTCCTATAAAGACTCCTTGCTTCTTCTTTTCTGTCTTTTCTATCGCCCTCCTTCCCTTCCCCATTACCCTAATTCATAATAGTGTCCGTCCTCCCCTTCCCCATTTCCCTAATTAAGATTTGTAATAAACTGGTCGGACCAACATTTGAACCGTTGCTTCTTAATCTCATGCTGGGTATATAGATAATAAAAGAACCTCCTCTCCCTCCTATAAATTAGAGCGAGACATTTATTTAATGGCGTAGTCGGCAGGATACCCGCTGTGAGAGTGTTGTCCTTCCAGATATAGTTTGAAAATTTTTTTTCTGTGTGCACCTCCTGGAGTTGCAAGGAGCGATAGTTTTGAAAATTTAGACGTGAGTCCTTCTCCAGGAAGACCGCTCCATATTCTGAAACTTTACCTTTTATGTGTGTACCTCTTGGCGACGCATTTTGAATACTTGCATTTTGCTTAATGTGTGTGTGCCTCCTCGGGAAGACTTCTCTGATTATTTGGTAACTGAAGTGCGAAACTTGAACCTTTTGTGTGTGTGTGTGTGTGTGTGTCTGCATGCACACGCCTCTTGGGGAAGTGAGGAAGTGATATTTTGTTACTTAAACGTGTGTGCCTCTCCAAGAAATTTTATTTACTCTATTGAAACCTAGAAAGTGTTGCTTTAGCTTCACATTTTTTGTGCTCCCCCAAAGAAAGGGAGGAGTGATTGGAGCATTTGCATTTGTTTAGGTGTGGTATATCTCCCTGGGAGGAGCAGTGAGGAGTAACTGAGCTTTTGAATATGTGTACCTCCTCCTCCCTTAGTATAGATCTTTCATTGTATTAAGAAATGAGTAACAGTATTGCCAGTATGAAAAGTGAAGATGTGTTATTTGACCTTTTAGAAAAGCATGGTGCTCGTCCCTCTTCATCAGGGGTGGACTGGGCACGCCAAAATTGGCATAATTTGCAGAGTGTTTCGGTCCGCATTAGTGTCTTACAGAATGAGGCTCGTACACGAGCTGGAAAAGGAAAGTCGTTTATTTGTGCCATACTCGGGGCTGCTTTAAAAGCTGCTGTGGAGTTCCGAAATGAAAAGCATTCGGCAAAACTCCAAACCATAGAAGCACTACAGGAATTGGTTAGAGTTACACAAGAATTGGTAACTCTGCAGAATCAAATAGTTAATTTCGAGGAACAATTAGAAAGAGAGAAACGTAATTCGGCTTTGTTGCAAATGGCTTTTAAGGAACTGCTAACGTGTAAGCATGCCAGCCATACCGTCACCCATAGTTTGCCTCGAGGAAAAACTTTTCCTCAAGTGGAACTACCAGGAATGAAGGAAAGGCTAGATAAATTAGAAACTCTAATAGCCCCATTGCGTCCTTTGATAAAAACTGAATACACATTCGATAACAGTGAGGATCTAGATCCTCAAATGAATGTTAAAAAAATTCCCTTCTCAGCCACTGAACTAGCAAAATTGAAAAAGGATTTTAGCCGCTCTCCAAAGGAATCAGAGACAGAATACGTATGGAGGGTGGGTCTCACTGGTGGCGACCAGATTCGGTTAACAGAAAAGGAAGCAGAAGGTTATTGGGGACCAGGAGTATTTTTAACTACTGGCAACAGTCTTGCTCCCTGGTCCTTAACACAAAGGGCTGCCTATTGGGCAGGTGGTCTCAATCCTTTAGAAAGGGGAGACCCTCTTGCTATTACTGGAACAACTGATCAGTTAGTAGAGTGTGTTCAAAAGGCTGCTTGTCTCCAAATGATGTATGATAGAAAGCTGCAGCCACACCATGAATCACCTATGATGATGCCTGTTGATCCTGAGAGAATGACTGCTTTAATTAGGGGGCTTCCAGAGTCGTTAAAACCTATAGGTATTCAACTGCAAGGAAAAATAGAGGCTATATCTCAGGGAGAGAGAGAGCGAGATGCATAGCCATGTTAAGTTACTTCATGATGTGTATAGGCAATGGTTTTGAGAAAAAAAAAAAAAGTTTTGAGAAAAGATAACATGGCAGATATGTTACCATGTTACTGGATACCAGCTAACTTCACTCAAAGCCATAAATCTCATAAAACAAAACACAGTTTGTCCAGCTAGAGTTTGAACAGGCTGGTATGTCTTTGTTTTACTGTATATTTTATCTCAGACAAATGTTTGGATGTGAGCTGAAATAAAAATGCTAGAGCTGATTTATGTATGGCTTTTATATGCATTATTCTATTTTAACGATCTTGTATTTGCAAGAAACAGAAAAATCAGTTGCAACTTGTGTGCAATCATTTGTTCACGTTAATCCTCTTCCCACCATTTCATTGAGAGATTCAAAGTTACTAAACCAGGATCAATTGATAGAAGAAAAATCTTACATTTACATCAGAAAACATTTCTGCACATCATTTATTACACTGAAAAGACAAGTTTTACCATTTCATAAGAGCAATATGTAACCAGATTAAATGCTTAAATTGTGTTACATTTTTTTTGACATTATTCAGTTGTATAAAATTAATGTAAAACTAGATCCTCTTGAGACTCTTGCAAGAGTCATTTCTAAGTATTTCTGCTGAAATCAATCTAAAAATATTTACCATTGTGTAAGTCATGTAATAGGAGCATGTATCTTAGTCAGATCTTGCCAATATTAAAGAGATTTACAAAAATAAAGCCTATTTGGTGTAGTTCATTCCTTCTACACATTGGAAGTGTTATTAATGGATTAGCAGATCAGAAATTTAATCTGTACAGTAACTAAAAATGATAGTTTATCACAAAGTTCTGTGATTGCAGCTGGATTTCTCTGGTTACATTAAAAAGTTAGGATGTGCATGCGCTTTTGTGTGTATTTATATTTATATGTATATAAATATATTTAAAAACTAAAACTAAAGTGCTTCCTTGCCCTTAAAAAAGCTCTCTTTTTAGATTTTTCAGAAATTGTATCTTTAACACATTTCCAATGCATTTTCATTAATAATTTATTTCACCATCTTACGAATCCACTTCAAGTCACAAACAATAACAAGCACAGTTAGACTGCCTACAAATGTAGCCTCTTTTCAGTGACTTCCAAATACATGGGGATTTAGTTCAATAAGACAGTGCACCTGAAAGACAAAAGAACTCAAGTGAACCAAACTGAAAATCACAACAGATGTAGACTTCTGAGCAGACAAAGTGCCTATGCATACCAGTGTTGGGCTGTACTCAAACAAGACCAGCAGCAGCACTTTGCATTCAACTTTTATTTTTGCAAAAGTAGGACGCTGTACTTTTCTTGATTGCATGTTTTATTTGAGATTTCAGAATTAGTTCTAAATGGCCTGACCATCTCTCTGTCTCATTTTCTACTCCTTACTATTTTATGGTGTATGTATCTTTCCATCTCTTACATCTTTTTCTATTCACAGAACTACTCCCCAGCTAATTTATGTGCCACATATGAAGTCAGATCCAGTTCTTATTCAGGAATGTCTAGTAACCTTGGCTTCTAACAGAATACCCAATCATTTTTCAGAAAGATAATTTATACTGCTACATACGTAGTACGTTTGGCCCATGAACTGTAATTGGTGAAATGGGCATAGAATATCTTGATTTGCAGTGGAATAAAATCTGGTGGTTGGGTTTGATTTTATTTTATTTTATTTTATTTTTTTGTTTGTTTTTTAGTCTACAGCTTTTGTGGAAGTTACAAGTTGTTATAAGGTCTAAGTCACAAAATAGTGATAACATCACAAAAGAATATCTGATGACTTCATCATTCTCGCCATTTGTTGTGGTTTTTAATATCACAGGTAAATAACAATGTAAGCACCATGTTTGAAAGGCAAAGTATATATAAAAATGTATGTGTATAAATATATATCTATAAAGCATATATCAAAGCACAGCTGAAAGTAGATGCATACCTAGAGCAGCAAGACTTTATTTTCTTTCTTTCTTAGTGTTAAAAGGTAACTTTACAAAGATACTCATAAATACTACGTGCATCAGCATGTCTCTAGGCTCACTGCCTAGAATGGGGATCATTCTCACTAGCATGCCAAGAGCAGGCAATTGGAAACACCAAGGGAAAAGAGTGTACTTCAAAGTCTGGATATACGAAACCTATGTTACTTTTTCAGCTAGCACTGTTTGGCTGTAAAACTTGGCTCTGGCCCCTGAAATCACCTTCTCTTTGTCAGCCAGACAGTCCTTTCTTGTAACAGCCCAAACATTAAAAGCCACTTAGAATCAGATGACAAAGGTCCTGGATTCCTTTTTGTTTCTTTAGAATCATAAGTAGCCTCAATTTCCAGATATACGCCTGTTCAGAAAACTAAAGGTGAGGAGGAGAAGGTGTAAAGCTGACTTGCTGTTCAGGATTGTAATACTCATGACCTAAAATGAAATGGATCATTGAGGTCCAATGCAACATTTTTTGTCTAAACCATCAACTATTTGACAGCCTTTTTAGGAGAGCTAAATTAAAAGAGAATGAACATTATTTTATTTAGATGGAATAGGGAAATGCCAATGTCTTTTTTTCTGTAATACACCAGAAAAACTTGAAATGCAGGCACCAATAAAAATAAAAGACCGCTTATAAGGTACTCTGCATGAATTGTTTCAGCTTGCATGGTATTCTCCTGACACTGGATACCAACAATAGTTAACTTCCTTGCCATCTAGAAATACAACTTTCACTACTGCAGTACAAGATAAGCAGTATGAGCAGTAATGAGTATCTTTAGATTTATCCCTAAACTGAAAAGCACATTAAACAGGATATCTGCTAATTTCTATGAGACTCACCCTACTTCCCTCTAAACAAAGGCATAGAGAACACAGACCAAATTTACGAGGGAAGTATGTGAAAGGTAGGTATAAGGTATACTAGTTTATGATCAGAATAATTAATTTTTTTATTTCCACATCCTGGCAGATCAACTTGGAAGAATCTGGAGTCAGAAGTCAACAGTTTTCAATACAGGTTGAAGTTACATTCAATCTATAGCCCAGAACAAGTTAAAAGGAAGCACCACCAGCGTGTTTCTGCCTTTCAAATTTAGGACACATACAATTCTTGATTTATGTGAGATGAGACAAGGCATTTTGGGAGAGCAGCTAACCAGAAATATTTTTGCAGACTGTAGGGCTTAATAACAACTAGCAACTTTATGAATTGAAAATATTTTTGAAGGTAGGAGGGATTTGCATTCATGCTGACAGCTTCTGTATCAAGTTTAGCCCAGTGGGAATTGAAACCGCTGAGATATTAAACCTTGAAAAGAGGGATTTATAATGGAAAGGCTGACAGAACTTTAATTATAGCCAGTAGCAGTTTAAGCATACTTAAATGTACTGTGTTTTTATAAGGACATTATAAAAACTAAAGGGATAGAGGTCACACATTAGATTGTGCTGGAGTAACCACTGGAACATCTAAGCCTTTAGGCCACTTCTTGGCTACTGAAAGATAAAAAGTTGAGTACCTGAGATTCTAGGTTATATTAGACAACAAGATCTCATGTTTTTTAAAATTATTTCACTAAAAATATTCACATATGTGTATTTCCTCAGGAATGTATAATTGTAGTCTTATAGCCTTATACAAATACACAAAAATATCAAAATAATGATAAAAAAAATCTTTTCTTTATCCAGCCAATTTTATGCCCAAGCTGGATAGTGCATTATCATAGTAGCAAGAATATACCATGCTATAGAAAATCTGTTATCCTTTACTATTGTGGTAACTTCATAACTTGTGCATTTTAAGGCTCTCAGTTTATAATATTGTTAGGTACTATATATTCATAATTACACATATCTTGCTTATAAGCTAGATTTAGATTTAAACTATTTATAAAGCAGGAATTTAATACTATAGAATGTAGTCATATTGGCATCTCTAGTAATTAATTGGTCTAAAAGTATACAGACCAGATATGTCTCGATCATGGCATTGAGTTTAGGACATAAGACCGAGAATCAATAGACAGCAAATTTATCTCCTGTAGGGGTTATAGTGACTGAAGAGGTCTCAGTAGAAAGAATTAATTACAAAACTCAGGTGGACTGAACTACTTCTGATTCTGAAGGAATTCTTGAAGGGCTATTAAAATTAGTTTGGATGAAACAGCATGTCTAAATAATCCAAGTTACCCAAATAGGCATCAACAAGGAGTCATACAAATTTTTAAAGTTACCTATTTATATTTTTTAGTACATTGCTTAATTTAATGCAATTAATGACTTGTCAATATGTGTGGCTCTTCCACTTCAACCGAGAATGCTAGACAACTGACTTTTCTGCTAATATTGTTTCTAAGAGGTTAGTTTATGGAAAGCTATTTTGAGATGGAAGAAGAACACATTCCAACTTCACTCTGTGCCCTCAGCAGTCCAGTGTTTATGAAGATTTAGCTTAACACAACACTACTACACATAGGACACATGTCAGCTCTTTCACAGACTTATCTTCGATAGGCAAGACCAAGTCAAGAATGAATGACTTCCTAGTGTGGAGAGCAGAAGAAAGATTTTCTTTGCTTTGAACTGCAGTAACATTTCCAGTACTATTATGTTTCATGATTCAGCATGACTCATCATGAGTCAGGCTGATTTACACTTCAGCTGTCTCTAGGCCATGCCATGAAAATTCATGGATATGTTTGCTGTATTTTGGCAAAAGGAGTGAGCTGAAAGTGTAGGACCTTGTGCAGGGCTATGCTGCAATGCTGGAGGTAATGTCACAGTATCAGTAATTTGTAAAAGAATACCGAGAGGAAAGAAGACAGTCATCAGGTATTGCAGATTGAGAGGAACCATATCCTATACATACCCCATATTTCATACCCCATACTGAAAACTTCCAAGGAAAATGTAGGTATGCCATTCTATTGACATTCTTCAACACTTTCTGAATGTTTATGGAGATAAAACAGTAG